TCCCTAGTCAGCCCAAAGAGCAATCAGGGTTCCCTGCCCTGTGGGAAGTCCAAGGACCACCCATCTCCATCCAGGTCTAGTAAGGTGAGCATCCACGAAACTGCCTAGGCTCCCATGAAACCAATAGGTACAGTAGGATCAAAAACCCATTGCCATTGTTCTTGAGGTCTCAGTACTAGCTGTGATTAGCCAGGGTCTATTTCTTATTTCCATTAACTGCTGCGTACCCTGAATCAGAATCTCTGCCACAGTCAGGTCTGATTTTTTTTTTTTTTCGTGCAACTCTGCCCACAAAGAATGCATTCTGGATTTTCTGATGCTTGCTATCATGGCCCTCCCAAGATATGTCATAAGCTACAGTTTGGGGCACAAAACCGCACCCTAATGGTATTCGCTTTCATGCTACTTCTACTCATCAGCACTCAATGAAAGACGCAATGATGTATAAATGTCATTCTTTCCTCCCAACCGGCTGTTGCCATGTCAGTTATTCTGATAAATGCCAACCAAAGAGTATGCTATGCCATGTTACCGCCAGGCCTTCTTCCTAATGGCAGGTTACCACTAACATATCTATACTGAGCTCCAGACATAGACAGAGCATTTGATCTACAGAAGGACAAGGGATTAACTCCTTAACACTGTTCTACACAAGTCCTCTTAAGTAACTTGACTGAGCTGGGTTTTCATTTGAAAGTAAAAAGTAAAGTTTCTGACTTTACATCTTTCTTCTCAAAGTTTATTTGTATGAAAGAAATAGAAACATCTAATTTGCTACCTTTTATTAAAATTTAATTATTACTTGGATGATCTTTTTATTTTTTTCTGATGTATGTGTTTGTGTGTATCTGTGTATGTGTGTGTGATGTTTGGTACATGCATGCATGTGTATGTGGGTGTTTAGTACTGTGTGTGTGTCTGCACATGGAAGCCAAAGAAGATATAAAGTGTCTCCCCCATCTACATTATTCCCTTGGGACAGGGTCTTTCACTGGACCTGGAGTTAGGATGGCAGCCAGCAAGCCCTAGCAATCCTTTTGTCACCATGCCCCATCGTGCTAGGGTTGCATGACTATGACCAGCTTATGGGCTAGAAATTCGAATCCAGAGCCTTACACTTACGCAGCACATGTTCTCACCTGCTGAGCAATCTTCCCAACCCCTTATTTCTATTTTTGATTCTGTAGTTTTGTCTGATCTTTAATCATCTGAACACTTTTCATGATCTTAGAAAAGGGGAGAGAAATTCATGCCTGATCTCTAATCCTTGATATATCCTTTACATGAATCAGGAATTGCTGGTCTTTCTTGTTTTGACATTCTAAGCCTTGTTGTCTTACTTTATTATTTGGCACAGAATTGGTAGAAATAATGGGTATTTTGTTATGAGGATGAGACAAAAGAAAATGCTTTATCTGTATGTATTGTATTTGTTCAGCTCATGTGTGACTAAAGTGAAGGTGTGAAATCCTAAAACTCACTAGTTTATTTTAGTAGGACAGAGGAAGTAATAAACCATAAAAACCACAGTGAACCCAAAGCATCTGTGATGAGAAGAGGTAAGAGTGTACTTTTAAAGTGGCAAATGAACAAACCCATCACAGAAGAGTAAGGAAGTTACAAAGGACACCATCAGAATATCTTCAGACCTTTCTCGCTCTGCTATCACCTCTTTGGACATGCTATTCCCACATTTTCATTTGGTTGTGTCTTGTTATACATAAATGGCACAGAGATCGGTTTTGATATCAACTTAACTTTCAATTTGAGTTGTTTAATCTCCAGGGTTGTTCAAATGAATCTTTTAAAGTCACTTGAGAGAACATAAACTTCAGAGTGATAACATGATTTTAAGCATCTCAAATCCAGTGTTAGTCTTCTTACAGCATTTGGGGAACACAAATGATTTTCATTTTGTTGGTTTGCAGAAGAGTTGAGATAATCCCCAACCTTCTCCAGGCAATCTGAAGCACCACATTGCCTTCACTGGGATCCTGCTTAGCTAGCAGGTATACCATAGCTGTGCAGCTGGTGATGTATCTCAAAGGTCACACAACATTCATTTTCCTCACTGAAAGTCCTGAAAAACAGGAACCCATTGCTGGCAGATAGTTATGAAGTTTTCAAATTCATCACAGAAAAGCATCCTTTCTGTTTTCCTTATCCACATAAAAATTTTAAAATACAGATTTTCAAATTTCTAATTATTTATATAGCATAAATGAGGTAAAGGTGGCAAGAACAGTTTTGTGGTTCCCCCAAGATCCACTTTGATCTTTCCGTGGACATATTTACTTCCCACTACTTTCTTGTCTTATAGGATCTACTCACTGGGAGGTAGGTAGAGGATCAAAAACTGGGAGTAGGCAGTTGAGGTCTTTCTTCTGCCCTATTTTACCAAATTCTAGCAACTGAGTTTTAGCTCTGAATGTCAGAGCTCAGGTAGTGGTTTTATTTTGTTTTGTTTTTGGTTCTTCTAGCTCTAAGGAGGAAAGCAGAATTTTTTCCTCAACCCTGGAAATTTCTTAGTAGGAATATACTTGTGTATCAAATGACAAATTAACAAAGGTGCAAAAAGAAATATATATGATATTTGGAGGGAATGAGAACTTCTCAAACATGTGGCTTTGGAGTCCTACTTATGTAGAATATTCAACAATGTATATTAAAAGTTTAAAGAAGTAGTAAAACAAAGAACAGAGGGATTTGCATCTCTGTGGATGGAAACCTGTGGGACAGTTGAAAATGGTAGCAAAAGAGGAGTCAGTAAAGTCTGTGAGTGCTGATTCTGCTGGTATAATTTCCAGGTTGATAAAGATCTAAAGTTATCTTCAGTGGTTAGCCATTTCTTTCTAGAGTAGGTGGGTACCTTTTGCCTTTAAAACTTGTATGTTCTGCTTTTGGACAAATAGAGGTAAGGGCAGAGAGCTTTCTGAATCTGCTGCTATTCACCACCCACAAAATGTGCCAACAAATATGGCAGAGTCATGACCTGGGGTAAACATGAATCTTCTGAAAAACACAGGGGTAGGCAGCTTTCATTGTGGCCTTTTTGGGTTTGGTTCTTCTGATCCTACTTGTCTTTCTAGTCACTAGAGTCATATCATTTTTGATCTACCTAACACTGTGGTTTCCCTTGTTTTCAAAATGCCATGACTAGAATCATTGATCTACATAGTATGATGAAGTAAAAAATGGTCCTAAACAAGGGTCTTGATTGTAGAAATGGATCTATTCTAGAACAAGAAAAGAAAGTTTTCTAAGAAAAACTGAAGACTTTTTGTTTAAAACACCTATATCTTATACACATGATTGCCAACTTCCTGAAATCTGGAGAGGACTCTTGGTCTGCACAAAGCTTCCCTCTTACAGTGGTGGCACCATCACTCCACTAGTCTCAATAGGGCGTTGGTGCTTTTGCTTGTCACTTGCTGAACATCCACTGTAACCAGATGATCCATGGACTGTTTTGTATTTGTTTACCCATCCAAAACTCCAGATCTCTTATAATTCAGTTTGACTGTTGGGGAAATTGATGCTTAGGAGATCTTGATTGCCAGATCTGTTAATTCTGCAGAATTCCAGACACCAGCTCAGGTAACTGTCCATGTTTGCAGAACATTAAAAGCATTCTAAGTAGGTGCTTCCGATGCAGATTTTGTTTTAGACAGAGCCTCTTTTAGAGGAAGATGACTTACAATAATAATTAGCAATCCTCTTGCTAAGAAGATCCTTAACACAAAAGATAATAAGCAATCTCCTTTATTAAAAAGATTCATTTAAGTAATATTTGAAACTAGATTCTAGTTCAAAATACTCTAAAAGCAACCCACAAGTCTCAGTGAAATCTCATTGCATTCCCTCCATTATGATCAATGGCCTCATTAGCGTTTATTCTCTGGGAGTAAAAGATCTTATTGCTATTGAGCCATGCTAGTTTACACAGAGAGAACAAAGAGTGAAAAAGTTATGAAAGGTATATGAGACAAAGAAGCCTGGAGTTGAAATACACTGAAGCAGGGGGACAGGGAGTAGCTGACTCACACTCAAAATTGCATAAGCAAGATTTCAAAATTAATCCTGTGGAGACCTCAGCCCAGTATACAATGTTCCTGGCTGGAAAAGAAGAACTGTGAATCTTTGATGTTTTTTTTCTTCAAATCTTTACCATCACTTGCCCTTCTATCTCCGCCTTCTCTCTCTGCAGGAAACTTTATTTCCTACTTCTGCACACCAAGTTTCTACCTCTAGATCTGAGGTTTTCATTGCTGAGAAGCCTGAGATAGCAGTGCTACCAAGAAATCATCCCTGGTGAGTTGTGATTTTTCCATGACTTTATGAATGTTAAGCTCCAGCACCTCCAAGCTTGAGGTGCTGGGTGCCAGGGAGAAGCCTGAGAGGCTGTGCAGCCTATGCATGTGGAGACAATGACCAAGATTCAGGTAGAAAAGAGGGTGTAATATACATACATTAAGAAATGTTCGAATGACCCTGGTGGCAGTAAGGAAATGAGGGTGTTGCTGGATGAGACCATCCATTTGGGATCAGGTGATGAAAAGGGGACACAGGGAGGAAAAGCACTCTGCTTGGTCATCTTCTAGGCACCCACGGGCTTACTCTGTCCCTCTTAGCATGCAGAGGGTTGCACTTCCTATAACTTTATATCATGAAATCTTTCTCTTCTAGTCCATATATGGAATAGTCCAAGTTCAGAACGAAAATATTCTTTTTAAACTTTTAAATATGCCTTTTATCTCTTCTCATGAGGGTCATACAGGCTGAAAAGTAATTTCTCTATATATTTCTCTCTCCCTCCCTCCTCCTTCTCCCTCTCCCCCCCCCTCTCTCTCTCTCTCTCTCTCTTTCTCTGTCTCTCTTCTGAGAGGCAGCTTCCCTACAGCCCTGGGTGCTAGATTCTGATGCCCAAAGTGATAAACAGGAGTCCCTTTCAGTTACTTTGTTGGTTGTTTGATAAAGTAGGAACAAGATGCTGGCTATGTGTCATGGGATTATATGAATTGTCTAGAATTTTCCATAACAGCTGGAACTTCAGGAACAGACCAGGACTTACTGCAGTGTGATTATTCAGGCACGCACATTTTTTCTTGACTTTCATCAGAGATCTCATTTAGCTTTTGCAGTCTAGTGATATGGCTCAGTGATGTGAAATGCAAGCTTGTAAAATGTGGTGATCACTGAAGGGATGGAAAAATGCTGTACTATATAGGTGGGTAAAAACAAATTTATTGTCAATGTCAGGAAAATGTATTCTTAACAATCAGGATTTAATGGTTGTTACATCTTATAATTGTATAACTATTATAGACTTTAGTGCATTCATTCATTGAGCATTTACTGTTAACTCTTTTAGCCAGATGAAATTATAACAGTTAAAGATTAAAAACACTGCCACTCCTTAACTTCAGAAGGATGCACAGTTTGCAAAAGGTAGCATAAGTGCTTACTTAGATTTCACAAGACTAGAGTGATTTGTCAGAAGGTGCAAATTAGGCTCACAAGAGAAGGGGCATTTGAGTAGGAAGTAGGATAAATAGAAGCCATTTTAGGGACACATATAGTGACTCACCAAGGCATGAAGGAAATGGTGAGCTTGGAGGAAATGGAGAGAAGCTGGTTGTAGCTGTTCACAGGACTGGGAATGTGACAAATGACTGGAGATGAAACTGAAAAGCAAGTTTCCCTAGTGAGCAGATCAACCACTATGAAGTCCCACCACATCCAAGTCATGTGGCTACTGGGGTTTCAGGCTGAGGAGTGCATATGCAATGTTAATTGTTAGAGCAGACAGAATGAGAATGATGACCTATATACAAGTGAAGAAAAGGTCAATATGAAGTGAGTGGTGGATGATACAAGAAACCAACAGTTTATAGAGGGCAGAGAGGATAAATTTGACAAGTATGTAGGATAGAATTCATATGGTATAATACTAACACGGAGCATTTATCTGTAGCACAAGCTGTACTAAGTCCTCATCTCTGGTGTTTCTATACAGGAAAACAGATACTTGACTTTAAATTATAGAGCTTTTATGTTAGAGGTAGAATTTTTTAATTTTTGAGATTAATTTTTGTGTGTGTGTGTGTGTCTGTGTTTGTGAAAGCCATGTGAATTCAGCAACCTGCCATGATCAGAGAAGGCATTGGATCTGTCATGGGTGCTAGAGACTGAACTCGAATCATCTGCAAGGTCATCTATCAGATTTGAATCCAATCTATTTGGTTCTGAAGGACAACTCTTAATTTTCTTAAGAGGAATGATTTGGAGTAATGCCAGAGTTAGATTCTTACACAATGTAATAAATGATAATAACTAAGATAAAGACCTCACAATTTGGTCAGCTACATAGTTCTTGTGTCAAAGTACTTGCTGTACAAACCTAATAACCTGAATTCAAATCCCTGCAGTTTTTATAGGAGGGAAAGTACAGAATGTCCTCTGACCTCCAAACATGTATAGCAGTGTATATCTGTGTCCCCTCATGTATAAGTCATAGTAGATGCCAAACAAATGTGTGGACAAATTCATGAAGAGATACTACAGATAGTGAAAATTTAAACTGAGGTTTTGGAAAAGGTGGAACTCAAATACAGAGCCTTGGAAAACTTTAGCATGAAGGAGAATCAAAATCCTGAGATTAGCTGACTTAATTTAGCTAATCTGAACTGAAGAATTTTGGAGTAAGAATAAAGAGACAAATGGTAAAAGGGAGCTTTCATGGAGTAGGCAATGAGATGTCACAAAAAAATGTTGATGAGTAGTCAGGTAGGAATATCGTCCTAGAAGCTTAAAAAGAAGTTTTTCTTTTCTCTTTTTTTTAAAAAGATTTATCTGTTTATTTGTTTTGTGTAAGCATGTGAGCATACTTCAGTTTATGTGAATTAAGTATGTAGAGGTACCTATGGATATCAGAAGGTGATCTCCTAGAACTAGAATCACAGGTTTTTAACAACAGGTGCAGAAAACCATCTTGAGTTCTCTGAAAGAACAGTGAGTGCTAAGTCATCTCCAGCCTTCAAAGGGGTTTTGAATAGAAAAATTAATGCTCAATGAGAATTAGATAAAGCATTTGAACAATGGGCTGCCATTGCACCTTGTCAAAAGAAGTGTGGGAGGATGTGGAGGCAGGAGTTGAGAGGGTTGTTAGAATGCTTTAGGCTGCAAGGAACAGATGATACAATTTACAATAGGTTATTTTCTTTCTCAAATAAGAATTCAGAAAGTGAGCCCCCTTTAAGGTTTCTGTACAATATCTACGTCTTTTGTTTATAGATCTAAGCACCACACGTATGCTATACAAGTTAAAGTCAACAGTGTTTCTTTTGTGTCTCTTTTATTGGGTAAGAACCTCCACAGAAACCTCCTAGCAGACTCTAATTGCATCTTATCACTCAGTGATGGGTCATATTCCTGTTTGCCACATGCAAAGGAGGTAGTAAATGCAGACATTCATCATTTGTAGCCTTACAATGAGTAACATGCTTACTAGGGAATATCAAGGGTATTAAGCAAATGGTTGCAGAGTTGACAAAGTGTGTCTGCTATGAAGAATAAGAGGAAAGTGATATGAACATGGTGTCAAGGAGATGACTATAAGGGTGAAACTAAAAACTGAGATGCTTTTTGAGTAGGGCAAGCGTATTTGGATTAGGGAATTTGACATTTGTGTTACAGGTAATCATTTTGTTCTCTGTCCCCAGAAACAAGGGAAATGGAAGAAAGTGATATGTTACCTCAGATCATTCATAGCATACTATCAACATCTCATTCTCTGTTTCCAAGAAGTATCCAAGGACTTGATGAAGATGTCACCACACCTTATGACTATGACAATGGTGAGCCATGTCATAAATACAACGTGAAGCAGATGGGTGCCAGGATCCTGCCCCCACTCTACTCTCTGGTATTCATCTTTGGTTTTGTGGGGAACATGTTGGTCATTCTCATTTTGATAAGCTGCAAGAAGCTGAAGAGCATGACTGACATCTACCTGTTCAACCTGGCCGTCTCTGACCTGCTCTTCCTGCTCACTCTCCCATTCTGGGCTCACTATGCTGCAAATGAGTGGGTCTTTGGGAATATAATGTGTAAATTACTCACAGGACTCTATCTCATTGGTTATTTTGGTGGAATCTTCTTCATTATCCTCCTGACAATTGATCGATACTTGGCTATTGTCCATGCTGTGTTTGCTCTGAAAGCCAGGACAGTCACCTTTGGGGTGATTACAAGTGGAGTCACTTGGGTGGTGGCTATGCTAGCCTCTCTCCCAGGAATCATATTTACTAAATTCAAAGAAGAAGATAGTAATAAAACCTGTGGTCCTTATTTTCCATCAGTATGGAAGAACTTCCATGCAATAATGAGGAATATCTTGAGTCTGATCCTGCCCCTACTTGTCATGGTCATCTGCTACTCAGGAATCCTCCATACCCTGTTTCGCTGTAGAAATGAGAAGAAGAGGCACAGGGCTGTGAGGCTCATCTTTGCCATCATGATTGTCTACTTTATCTTCTGGACTCCCTACAACATTGTTGTCTTCCTGAACACCTTCCAGGAATTCTTGGGACTGAGTACCTGTATGATTTCCAATCACTTAGACCAGGCCATGCAGGTGACAGAGACTCTTGGAATGACACACTGCTGCATCAACCCTGTCATCTATGCCTTTGTTGGGGAGAAGTTCCGAAGGTATCTCTCCATATTCTTCAGAAAGCACATTGCTAAACGTCTCTGCAAACAGTGCCCAGTTTTCTACAGAGAGACAGTGGATCGAGTGAGCTCAACATACACCCCTTCCACTGGGGAACAAGAAGTCTCAGTTGGGTTGTAAAGCAAAGGGGCAGTTTGCTTTATTTTTTTTCTATTTTTTTTTTCTAATCAGGGTACAAGGAACAGTTTGTATATGGTAACAAGCTTCAAAGTTAGTGAATCTCACACCTTTGGGTCTCAACCCCTTGGGGGCCTAGAAGGTCCTTTCAGAGGGGTTGCCTAAGACCATCAGAAAATGCAGATATTTACATTACAATTTATAACAGTAACAAAATTACAGTTATGAAGTAGCAAAAAAAATTTATGGTTGGGGATCACCACAACATGAGGAACTGTATTAAAGAGTCACAGCATTAACAAGGTTGAGAGCCACTGCTCAAAGATACATTGAAGAATAGGTGTCCAGGAACCTTAGGATTATGCCAAGACAGAACTACATCACTTCTTGTACATATAATACATGCTCAGGAAACATTCTAGAATAAATGTTGGTAGAATCTTCAGCTTTTCAGTGAAGTCTTCTCTGCCTCTAGGAAGAGCCTTATTTTCTTGTGGTAATACTATTTTGCCAGTCTTGACTCTGTTTCTCCCTGCTTCTAACAAGATGAGCTTGGAATGAACAGGAAGAAGGGTGTGAGGATAAGAAAGATGAGACAAGCATTGTTGATTCTGGATGGAGATGAAAGGGAGCAGGAGCCCTTTTCATTTGGAAAGAAATGTCCTGGTCTTTGGCTCCATCTCCCACCTGTATTTAATGGTGAAGGCATTATCAGGTTGAGGAAAATCTGGGAACTGTAACAGTTTGTTGGGAACTTTATTTGAGTCCCCTGATTCTTTTATACATAACTGCATTGCACATTTTTACTTTGTTATTTTTACTATGAAAACATGGAAAAACTTTCCAATATCACACTCCATTGCTTACGTGTTTCTCAAGCCACAACTCCTTAAATAATATTTATAAAATTATTGTTTATAAAATATGCTTCATCTCCCCATGGTCTTTATTTTCTAACTTCCATACTTCAAACATCAGTGGGCCAGAGAAAAGTGTATTTGAAACAGCCAAGCATGAGCTCCTGGACAGTCCCAGGAGAGAAAAAGCACTGAGTATGTTTTGTGGTTAAAGAAAGGGATGGATACCGCAGGAACAGAAGCCCTTGTTTTGGATTTATACTCCTACCTTAGGAACATATCTTAATTACCAGGCAGGATAAGCCTATATAAAAAGAGATTATAGATAGAGTGAGAAGAAATGTCATAGACTATCTTCTAGTGCCTTATTTTTGGATACAAATGTAATTCAAAGAGTTTTTTAAAAAATCAAAAATAGAAAAAAATAAAATCAAGACTGGAAACGTTAACTTTTAAATGCTACGAAATACCTCTGTAAGAGTTCTTACCTTGCTAGCCTTGAATGTATTGCATTAGTTGTAGAGAAAATTCCGGCATTGAGTATAAGGGCTGACATAACAACTCTGGATTGGCAGGGCCTTGAGTCTGTGATCTGTGGACTTACCCAGCTACGGTTATATAGAGTCTAAGCCGTCGGGAACCCAGCATATGCTACACAGAGGCTGTCAGCAGTGCACTTGTTCTCTCAGCCTTGTTTTCTCCAAACTTCTTTGTATTATTCTTCCTGGATGTGCTAATGATGATAGATTGTCCTGCCGGTGAGTAGGAGCTCCCGAGTCAAGTCAGTTCTCATCAAAGCTTTAACAATTTAATTTACAAAGGAGAAGAATTAGATGAACTCCTTCTCATATGATAAATATCTCCCCTGAATGAACCAAGAATGCTTTTCCCTATCCCATATTGTTTTTCTCATCTGGCAGAGAAGCAAACAAAGAAACAGACAGCATGGAAACTGGAAGTTTTGTGGTTTGGCTTTGTTATCACATGATGAAAAAAAGTTTCTCAAAGAAGTGGGGGATAAGAGTATTACCTTCAGATATCCTAATAGTTTCATTTTTGTGATGATGATATGTAAATATATTTTAAATCCTATGATTTAAGAAATAAATAAATGTTCTGTCTATATTGCTAGAAATATTAAAAAGAAACAAGCATATGTTTTGTTACAACAGTGTGGTTGACTGTTTTGTTCACAACTACACACGACTTCCCCTGTACTTCCACATACCTGGTAGAGGGGAATGACTTACAGCCTGCCTTCCAGGCTATACACAATCCTGCAGCTATGCCATTAGAAGACAAACACAGAAGACCTCTGTCTTTTCCAGTTACAGCCTCAGCATGGCTGGTGTGAGCCTTTTTTGTTTTTAGCAAACTAAAGCCATGCATCTCAGTGAGTGAGAAGAGAAATGAAGCCAGGGCCACAGCCATGAAGAAAAGGAGCAAGAAGTCCATGTTCACTATGATAAGCCACTGGATCAGGGGGTTATTTGTTAAGGACAACGCTGACTAATACAGATGGGAGATTATATACATATTGCTGTGAGGTGCAGTGTGAAAAGCAGCCTGAGTGTCCACAAATTGGATGGGTAAGATGAAAACAAATGTCCATTGTCATGTTCTTGATGTCCTTTAGACCTTGCAGACCAGGGCCCTGGAGAGTGGCATGAGTTGCAGAGGGCTCACACATGATCACAAGAACACAGGGGAAAAGGCATATATAGGACTCTTTTGAGAATCCAGAGGGCAGGGATTAACTCAGTGGTGGTCATGCAGCATGGTAGGATTTTTGTAGCCACAGAAGAAACTGCCTTGTAGGGGTTATCTGTTAAGTGTTTCCAGAAGTGAGCTCTGAAGTCATCTGGGGAGAACTTTTGAGTGCAAAGTCTGAGGAAAAGGAGAATGAGGGAGAAGAAAGGATACCATAACAAGGGATGGGTGTTTGGACAGTTTTGATAGAATAGTGGGCTTGACACTGTTCCTAAATGGCCTTTCGTCTGTGCTATCAAAGCAGCTGGGGAGGCTGAGTATGTGCAGAGGACTCTAGTAAACCTTTTCTTTTGCTTTTACCCATTATTTAAACTTATCTGATAAATGAAATTACCTCAAATGAGGTTATCCAGAAAGGTTGACTGCCCAGGTACCTCTACAGAAACTCATCATGCAGAACACTGAGTATTTCTGCAAGGGAGCTCAGGAATGGGGTGGGGAAAGAACAGTCATAGGTTCAGAAAGTGACCAATACTGGCTAGAATTTGTTAAGATATAGACACTAAGATAAGTGATTTCTTAAGGTATAGGCATATTATCTTAGTTACTGTTCTATTGCGTGAAGAAACACTATGACCATGGCAACTCTTAAAAAGGAAAGCATTTAATTGGGGTTTGCTTACAGTTTCAGAGGTGCAGTCCATTGTCATCATGGTGGGGAAGATGGTGGCATACAGGCATAGTGCAGGAGAAGTTAATTCCACATCTGGATTCACAGGCAGCAGAAAGAGAGGGACACTGGGCCTGGCTTGTGCTATTAAAACCTCAAAGCCCACCCCTCATGACACCCTTCCTCCAACAAGGCCATACCTACTCCAACAAGGTCACACCTCCTAATTCTTTCAAATAGTGCCACTCCTTGGTGATCAAACATTCAAATATAGGAGCCTATGGGGAGCCATTCTTATTCAAACCACCACACATAATATCTGTAACTTTGAGAAGGTTCTGGTGTGGTGTGGTGTATGGTGAATGTGTGTGTGAGTGTGTGTTTGTGTGTGTGTGTGTGTGTTGGTGTATATATAAATCAAGAGTTGCATCCCTGCTGTCCCCAGCATAAATCTTATGCCACATCAGCTCAGCAATTCATAAGCAAACATCAGGTAACTGAGTAAAGTTTTGGCTCATTGACAGCAACTTTTAAACCTCCTAATATAATGTATTTGCAATATGCAATTATTTTCTTTCTCTTGAATAAAGTTCAATTGGTCCTCAGAGTCAATTAGATTCTGAAAGGCTGTGCTTAAAGCAGGTATGAGCTCTACCTTTTCTGTCCCAACTCCAGTCCCACCCTCAGCCCTGATGTGGTCTGCCTCAAGATGACCTCCAGGGCATATGCTTTCCAGGGATAGGCTAGCCATGAGGAAAGCAGATATGGCCAGAAGGATGCACATTTCTTTACAGAGCTGGTTCCTTCCACAGGCCCTTCTGTATTGGCAAAGATGGCCAGAAAGATGAACACTGTTGTGTTCTTCCTTCAGAGGATCCAGAGCTAGTAAGGACACCCATGACTACCTATTAGATCACACAAAATCTCCTTCAAACTGGGCTTTTTCTAACTCACCATTTCTTGGGTGTTGATGTTGCCTGTCTCTGATAGTGGGCTCCATAATACAACCGTACCCTGTCCACATTGTTTGGTAGCCATGCAACCTAGTGAACATGAAGTATTGAGATATCTTTGTTTCCTCATACATACCCTGTCTCTACCCCTTCACACACACACACACACACACACACACACACACACGCACACACACATACACACACACACACACACACTTACCTCACATTCCACCCCTTAGTCCCCTTTGGAGCTGACTGGCTGCCCTTTCCTCTTATAAACCCCCATTTCTAATGTGACTCTCTTGGAGTCCCTCCTGGCTCTGAGAGGAAGAGCATGAATTAATCTTGCCCTCCCACTAATGCTTCTACAGACATTATAAAGAGTTGACGAGACAGCACAGGGATGGTTCTGTCACTTCTTAGTAAGCCGAGGAAAGGTGTCTAACCCCAAGTGTCAGTGGTTTCCTCTATAATGGCGAAGCACTTAACACTTCTTGGCCTCAGCCTTAGATTGTATTTGTCAGTTCCAGAGTGATCAGAATCGCCTTATATAATATCCTGTTATACATAGAGCTGCAGATGTCAGAATAGCCTTATATAATATCCTGTTATACATAGAGTTGCAGATGTGATCTGACCTCTAGAGATGACCGTGGTGTGTTATAAGCCTTAATTGGTACTTAGATTCTGTTACCTTTCCCAGGATTGCCTTAGATCCGTGTCTTGGCACTGGTCTAAAATACATAAGGCACAATTCCAAATTGAGCTAAGTGGTTTATGTCATATCCCAGACATATCTAATGAAAGTATATAGCAGACAGCCTCTGAGAATTACATGATTTGATATTTTTCATGGAGTTTACAAAACGGTTAGGCTGGGGAGGGGGTTATGCTTTCATTACAAATGTCTAGAGGACAAAGACAAAAATGGGAAATAGTGTCTCCCAATTCCAGTTTTCATGAAAGGAGTGTGAGGCGGGAAGTAAAGAGTCTGGGAGTCATTGAACCCAAGCATCATTGCTGAGGCACAGAGGCAAATGTGTGACATTGAGAACTGGTAAAGCAGAGGCTTTTTATTTCTGTAAAACCTGGAAGGAGTCTCTGGCTACACTGATCAAAGTAGACTTCCTCCTTGACAGGCAAAAGAACATTGGCAATGACAATTAGTATAACATTGTTCCTGTTAGTAAATTACAGAAGAGATCCTGTCTCCTTTGTAAAACATATCTAATGTTGTGATGTGGAGCAAAAGTCACCAGGCCGGAGGAAGGCAGCATCTGGGATTTCCTTTTTGTGAAGTTAAAAACTATCTGATCTATATAAATAAGGTCAAAATGACCCAAAGACACCTTCCTAGGCCATAGGGAAGATATATCCCTTATTACTAGATCTTGATGGAGTTTTATAACTATGTAAGTCAAAACTGGCAAAGCTATACAACTAATATATAAGACCTCAATTAAAACTGCAGTTACAGAAATATACTCATAATAAAAAACTTTTTTTTTGAGACAAGGTCTCACTATTTAGTCTTAGCTGACCTGGGACTCACTACATAGACCAGGCTAACTTCATACTCAAAGAGGTCCTCCTGCCTATGCCTCTCAAGTGCTAAGATTAAAGGTGTATCCCACTATGCCCAGACAATAATAATAATAACAACAACAACAATAGCACAAGAACAAAGTTTACTTGTGAGTAGAGACTTCTCTATGAGTCCATAGGCCCTCATTTCCTTGTGCATCCTCGAGACAAACTTCTACCTGGGAATTGCATTCTGGACCTGGCATTCAATAAACGGTAAAAACCTTGCTCAGCTAGGCTTTTCGTTGCAAACTGTGATCTTGGCCTTACCTCTGTTCCAAGGCTGCATGGTCTCTGATAGCATTCATTCTTTCACACATCTTCTAGCACATCACTACCAGGAGTGACAATGGAATTTCAGAGGTAAAGTAGCTTGCCAAGACCACACTGACTTTTGAGCCACATAGCTTCTCCACACTGCCCTCTGGAGGTAAGCTATAGCTCTTATATCTTCCACTACCCTATGAAACTATCTCAGCACAGCCTAAGCCCTAACAATATGAATCAATAGTATTCACAAACAGAATTATAAAATTTGTCTAGCAGCCCTGGAGAGGTCTACCTCAGAGAATGATAAAGAAATGCAGATTCTAAATTGTGTTTATTTTGAAAAGACTACTGCGTAATTAAGAGATTGCTGTTTTCTTTGTGTGTAGTTTGTCCATATATTTGTTGTTAGTGCCTCTTATTGCTACCAAACTCAGATCTGGACACTTACCACATAGAAAATTAGTCCCCAGGACACAATAATTGGAAAAAATAAAGCGGAATTTATTGAGGATGCCAGTCACCTGGAGGGAAGAACACTCCCCTGTTCCAAGTCTATGGGGGAAGTGGGAATATTTATGTTAGGGCAATTAAAGTTTAAGTGTAGAATCAGCATTTCCAGGAACTTGAGGTAGATAATCTTGGAAATGAGGAATAAGAACAAAGCAAAATGGAGTCACTGAAGGCAACCGCCTGTTTTAACAGCTCGTGACATACTACTGTTATTCAGCCTAACATACATATGAGGCAGTTGATGGGAGTCAAGTGTGGCAGTCTAGCTGCAGAAGCCTAGTGGGCTAGGCTGCCTCTTGCTGATTTAGGAACAAATTTTTCTGTTTAAAGTTTTCTTACCTTCCTATAGGTCATAAGTCAGAGCTGCTGTTTCTACAGTTGAGGGGCCCTTGTGTCTCATTGGTACCTCTTTGCTGTGTTTTCATCTCTGCTGTCATTCCTTGATGTTTTTAAAAAATTCATCCACCACCTAGGAGACCTAATATGGCCACATATAGCATTATCATGTAGTCTGAATTTTATCATGCACTTTTTTCACTGCTGCATGAAAAACCCTCCATGTCTCCAGATAAATTATGTTCTTGGAGTGAGGCACTTTGTTACCTTCAAATCTGACGTAGAGTAAGTACTCACACATTTCTACTTAAAATGTACAATTATGTGTTTCACCAGTTACCAGATATAGGAGAGAACCAAGAAATATGCTTGGCTCCCAGGAAAATGTAAACCCTTTTTTGCCAGTTGCTTTAGTTTACACAGAAGAGTCATACTGGACGGTAAATGTAGGAAAGCGAGGGGAGGATGGGTAAAAGAAGGAACAAAGTTCTGTTCTGTAATGAACCTTCTATCTGATTTTAATTTTAATCTGATTGGCTGGAGTTTACTTTAACCAAGAGCAACTGTGAGGAGAGCACATCTTCTTGCCCTTTGGGCTTTACCAGTGAGACACTGAGGTATTGTGTACGTTATTTGTCTCTTAAACAGTGATTCTCTTGATTCAAATGTGGGCTTTGAGAAATGGATACAAGTATTCTTCTATCTTTAAAACTTCTTTCTAATTTCTAATAGGCTGTGAGTGGGGTTGGTTGAGCAGAAAACATAAGTAAAATAATGTGAGGAGGGAAACTACTCAACAAAATTTCAGACCAGAGCTGCCTTCTATTTTCTGCTTTAAACGCAACTTTAATGAAAAAAGAAGAACTGATCCAACACCCCTCCACCCTGAGACACTACGTAATGCCCGTTCTCATAAAACTCCACCCCCTTGAAAGAAATCTTGTTTCTTACTTTATACTGTCTATATGTTTGATGTGTACAACACTCATAGCCAGAGTAGCTGAGACATCCGTTCCCCCGACAAGAAACTCTGGTAAGTCACCTCTTAACCCTTGGGAGGTTAGTTTAGCTCAGCCTCTATGATGATTAAAAACTTCAACAGGAAATCCTGAGCGGACATCTGTCAGCACCAGGTGCTCACTGGATTATCTGAAAATATAATCTTTAAGATACAGAAAGGGTAAGAATTTAGGATATGTTTCCGTATGTGATGTCATCCAGTATATAAAACATAATTGTGAATGAAGTATTTAAAAGAGACAATAGTTTTTTTAAAACAAAAAAAAAGCAGAGTTTTTACCTCTTAAAATAGCTTCTACAGCAATGATACTGGCTGAAAACTGGTTTGATAATCATTATCTTCATCTGAGAAGAAATGAAACCTCTCTGTGGGTCATCTGGAGCATGGGTGTGTCAGAAGCTCTAAGTCTCTTGTGTTCTCTTTCTTCCCCTGCCCCACCTGTCTCCCAGAAAAGAGGGGGAAACTAAAAATTGTCTAAGTTCATATCAAATTATCTAAGTTACTTACAGAGGATTTTTGTTCTGGCTCAGCACTTGAAGGTGAGATTTTCTGGGTGTTTCTCTCAACTGTCTAAGTTTGGAGGTTTGAGGATCAAGTAGAGAAAATTCTCAAGTACAGCAGTAGAACTTAGGACAAGTCTGTGGTCAGAGGCTGAACACAGGACTATTTAGCCTGTAAGATATTCATGCATGGAGATGGAGGAAACATTTTATATCTGACCATTTCTTCTGCTTATATGAGAACTTTTGGTGGCAGCAACTTAGGAAGCAGAAATAACTTCATAGAAGAGATGAAGATGGCCCACTTTAATAACTAATAAAAGATTCTATGGCACTCTGGGAGTACTTGGACATCAGTCAGTCATTTTATCCTGACTACAGAGAGGCAACATGTTACTAAAAGTGTGTTAATTACCAAGAAGCAACACACAACATGTCAGTTAAGGGTTCATGATCTGAATTCAAAATCAGTGTGGTGTGGTTTTGTGTTGACTTATTCATTCTCTCTGTACTCGGGGCCATTTTATCTAGAAAAATGTGAACGATATTACCTGCCTCAAACAGTTACCTTAAGTATTTAATGAATGAGTAGGTAAGACAGTTAGAATGGTGATTAGAACTCAGTGTTCATTCTTGCTGGCATTTGTGCAGCACCTACTATTTGTGGGCAAATGCCTAGACACAGAATCTTCAGTAGAGGTCTTAAACCTGAGTGCCTGGCTCAGTTTCACAGATTAATTCACCCCACACTGATAGATAAAGCAATATTTTATTTGATGAAATGCATCTTTCATGAATTTTAGCTCATACAACAAGGGGAAAATTAAATGTAGAAATCTATGCCTCAAAGACCTACTAAATTATAAAACCATTTGTAATTGTGGTAGACGAATAACAGCTTTTAACTTCATTAAGCATTGTCTTTTCTGTGTTCATAGATTCTTGCAAAATGGATTTGCAAGTATCAAGTACGACCTCTTTCTATGATGATTATGGTGGGGCAACACTCTGCCAAAAAACAAACGTGAAACAAGTTGCAGCCCAGCTCCTGCCCCCACTCTACTCTCTGGTATTCATCTTTGGTTTTGTGGGGAACATGTTGGTCTTCCTCATCCTGATAAACTTCAAGAAGCTGAAGAGCATGACTGACATCTACCTGTTCAACCTGGCCGTCTCTGACCTGCTCTTCCTGCTCACTCTCCCATTCTGGGCTCACTATGCTGCAAATGAGTGGGTCTTTGGGAATATAATGTGTAAATTACTCACAGGACTCTATCACATTGGTTATTTTGGTGGAATCTTCTTCATTATCCTCCTGACAATTGATCGATACTTGGCTATTGTCCATGCTGTGTTTGCTCTGAAAGCCAGGACAGTCACCTTTGGGGTGATTACAAGTGGAGTCACTTGGGTGGTGGCTGTGTTTACTTCACTCCCAGAAATAATCTTCATCAAATCTCAAAAAGAAGGTCGTCATTCTACGTGTAGTCCTCATTTCCCACATAGCCACTATCATTTCTGGAAGAGTTTCCAAACATTAAAGATGGTCATCTTGAGTCTGATCCTGCCCCTACTTGTCATGGTCATCTGCTACTCAGGAATCCTCCAAACCCTGTTTCACTGTAGAAATGAGAAGAAGAGGCACAGGGCTGTGAGGCTCATCTTTGCCATTATGATTATCTACTTTATTTTCTGGACTCCCTACAACATTGTCCTTCTTCTGTACAACTTCCAGGAATTCTTTGGACTGAATAATTGCGGTAGTTCTAATAGACTAGACCAGGCCATGCAGGTGACAGAGACTCTTGGAATGACACACTGCTGCATCAACCCTGTCATCTATGCCTTTGTTGGAGAGAAGTTCCGGAATTATCTCTCAGTGCTCTTTCAAAAACACATTGTTAAACGTTTTTGCAAGCACTGCCCAATCTTCCAGCAAGACAATCTTGATCGTATAAATTCAGTCTATACCCGATCCACAGGGGAGCAGGATGTTTCTACTGGTTTATGACCTGGGCTGAGTTTTGTATATCACTTAGTTTTGTATGTAGCTTGGGAGTAGAAATGGTTTTTTTTTTTTTTTAAAAAAGGAAGTTAATATTGTAGAGGGCCTAAGATGCATGCATGTTTGGATATTTATTTTAGCTAGATGGAGTCTTTTAAAGCCTATTGGTTTTAGAAAGCCAAATGAGAATGTATCAGTGAGATAGTGATCCCTGGCCTCATTTCCACTCACCTCCAGTTATGGCAAACTCTTTTAGCCACAAAAATTCACTATAAAAAATCCCAAAAATTGGGAGATTTTTAAGCTTGACTATCTGAGCAGAAATAACATCCATCAGGAAGAATACCTTATTCAATCTTTTTCCCTATACAAGGCAAAATTCAGGCTATAAGTGTACTTAAAATAGATCTTTGTCTTGCCCTGAGAAGAAAAGATGAGAGTGTGATTAGGTAGAAAATGAATAGCTGAGCTCTATGAATTAGTTCCATAGACTTGTATGACCGGGTAAATGCTCTGTGGCCTGGGAGGGGTGGGAACAAATCTTTTTATAAGAAGGGATTTGAACTGGATCATATGTTAGTAAATGAGAGGGAGGGAAGTCATTCTTTGGGCGGCAAGACTACACTAGCAAAACAAAGGCAGACCTGTGGCTATTTGGAAAGGCCATGGAGAGAGAGTCAAGGCTGGATAACAACGCACTATGTCAGTTTTGCTCCTTCAAAGTTGTAGCAGAATGGAAGCACATGGACAGGTTTGTACAAAGCTTATTTCATGGCTTTGGTGAGCATTCAGGGAAAGCAGATCAGCAGCAATAAGTTCAGAGTGAGATTAGGCCACCTTGGCTAGACAGTGGGGAAGCATCGCTTTGGCATATAAGACCTAGAGTCAGCAGAATTTTGGGTAAATTGGAGGTAGAGGTAAACGAGAACCTCTAGACTCAAGTAGTTTGGAATAACCATAGAATAAACAACAAATACAAGAATACGGTAAAGAGCTTGGCCTATGAGAGTAGTCTCGTTTTAAAGCCTGTAGCCTCAGATGGTATTTTGTACCTGCCCTTCAGACTCAAATTTTGCCATACCAGCTTTGAATCTTAGGGTGAACCAGGGAGCTTATGAATCATGAGCCTAAAGTCTTGTAATAATACAGATTCCTTGTGGATTCAGCTAAGGGTTGCTTATATAATTTGAACCCAGAGCTTTACAACTTTAAGCAGAGGCCCTAAGATATGAGGGAAGAGCATCAATTTTCTCTATTTACCTAGCAATCAGCAAATCTGAGAGAAACAATTTGCTGTGAGCTTCAGAAGTCAAGAAAGTGTAATTACCACCTTCTGTGTTCCAGGCTAAGAGTGAAGGCTTCGGTTTCGCTTTACAGATGGCTTCTCCACACAAACATTGCTAAATTTATCCATTGCAGAGAGGTTTGGGATTTTTTGTTGTTTTTGCAGTTGTTATTTATGATATTGTTTTGAATTTTGGAGCAGTTAAAATCTTCACAGTGAAGATTAAGGGGAGAAACAAAAGGATGAGAATCATTCAAAGGATTAAAGTGTCTGGCTAACAAAAGGTACTACTTGTTTTTCTCAAACTCTGAGTGTGAAACCAGAGGCTTGTGGGTGTCAGCAGGAAGTGAGTATTTGCTTTTTTCTTTCCTGAGATCCACATTTTCTCCTCCAATTTGTAGCTGAGACTAGACTCAAATTTATGCTCCTCCTTCCTACATCTCAAGCACTGAGATTACAGATGTATATGAACACACCCAGCTCTGTATTTTTATATTCTTAAGCATATAGAAAGTTGTAAATTCTTTGACGATAATATGAGATGTATAAAAAATGCGTTTTAAAAAATAATTTCATTTTTGTTCTTTCAATCACGTGAACATTTAGTGAACAGTACACAAAATTATGAGAGTATTTTATAAGTAGTTATTTTGGAGAACATCCCCAAATAGTACTTATTTAAATATAGTCCTTATCTTAAATGGATGATGATGGTGATTATATTTCCTTTAAAATATTTTTAACAGTCAACTTTCTTCCTAAGACAAATTGTTATGATAATTATTTTTAAACGTGTTACTTCTGCTGGGTGGTGGTGGCATACATCTTTAATCCCAGCACTTGGGAGGCAGAGGCAGGCAGATCTCTGTGAGTTCAAGGCCAGCCTGGTCTACAAGAATAGTTCCAGAACAGGTTCCAAAGCAACACAAGAAACCCTGTCTCAAAAAAACCAAAAAAAAAAAAAAAAAGTTGTTACTTCTAAGCATGTAGTTCCTGAGCAGAGTTGCATGAGAGATTGTAAATTTCAAATTGTGCTTACTCTCAACCAAAAGAGTTTTAATATATTTACAAATAGATGTCAGAAGTCAAGAATTTGATTGAAAACAAAGACATGCAACTTTGTAGTCTGTTACCTAAGGGGAGGCACATGGTAGGGAGGATGAGCATTGCTTTTCCTTTATTTAAAATTCTTTTCCAGAGTATGTTAGTAATTTCAGTAGCGGCAACTACGTAACACTGGAACTTCTGTCCACATGTTTCTTGGACAGAGAGAGGAGAGATGCTTCAAGGAGAGTTTGGAACATGCTGGTTTTCAGTCTGCTACAGCCTCAGTTTCCAAAGCAGGGTGTGTGAAGATGTCAGAGTTGGTCATGCTCCTGAAAGAAGGTACACAAAATGAGTAGTAATCAAGACAGGGCTAGGGCAGCAACTGCTATCAGATTCAAAGGGTTGCTTTTCTTTCCTTAGATCCAAAGGTGGGATGTATCAAAGAAGAGTAGGAGGCAGCTGGGGTTAAAAGAGAAAATAATTGGGGACCGGAGCCCTATTTGCTATGATAAGGCCAGCTGTTGTGGGAATATGGGAATGTTTGTTAGTAGCTTTTCTTGTTGCTGTGACAAAATCTGACAAAGGCAACTTAAAGAAGGGCTTGCTTTTGTTGGTAGTTTGAAGGAATGCAGCCTACCATGATGTGTGAGGAGTGTAAGGTTGTTGGTCATGTTACATTTGCATCCAGGAAGTAGAGAGCTGAATGTTGGTTTCAGCTCCCTTTCCCCTTTTCACTCAGTCCAAGTCCCCAGTCTATAGAATGGTGGTGCCCACATTCAGGGTGGGTCTTCCCTTCTCAGCTAATCCTTTCTAGAAACATCCTCATAGATACAACCAGAAATGTGCTTTCTAGGTAATTACAGTCAAGCTATCAATACCAACCATCACAGTCAGTTTTTTTTTTAAAATAGCTGATGTATACATATGTTAGATGAGTCCATGACAGAAAGATGCTTGAAGTGTTATATGACTATGTATATATTTCTTTCACAATTTTATAAATATTTTAATGTTTCATTTGGCTTCATATTGTTATGACTTCATTGGATTATAAATTCTGTGTTATAATTCTATCACACTTCAGGAGCCTATTTTTGTTTCAAAAGATAGTTTTTCATTTCAGTTTTGTGAGACAGGGGTTCTCTTTATACCCCTGTACTGGGACTCACTCACTGCCTCTGCCTCCCATGTGCTGGGATTAAAGGCCTGCCACCACCTCAAAAGCATATGAACCTTTTCTGCTTGAGTCAGTAGGAAGGCTATCAAAACTGCAAATAACCTGGGCTATATTGCTTCCATACTGCCCACCAGTGGCCAACTAGCAAACTACTAAGAATGCCTGGCAACCAGCCTTGACACAGCAAACAAGGAGTTTGGTTTCACCCAGTTGTTTACTGTTTGTTTCTTTCATTCCAGTGTGGACAGAGGCATATCCAGAGAAGCTCGGGGTAGATGACACATAGTTCTTTCTCACTGCTTCTGAAGAACAGAAAGAGCATCAGTGTAGGACACAAGTAACACTTTGCATGAAATAAATGTTTGAGGTGGATCTGCAGAATGCTGAAGCCCAGACCTAAAATAAGGTCAGGAAATTATTTCCACCTAGGCATTTTTCACATATGTGAAACGCCCCAAACTCCGCCTTCATTTCCCTCTAACCTGCACATTCCAAGGGTTTGAAATGATCAAATATAGTTGAGATGCAGGTGGTTTCCTTTGATTTTTGTCTTCTGTTTTCTCCATTACTGTTATCACTCCTCTTGGATGCAACTCTCTTACAAAACTATATACCTTGAAAATGGAAAAGCCATTGAGGACCACTCAGTGCAGGTGCTTCTCTCCATAAGTGAAGAACAGAGTCAACACCAAGTCCTAGAGAGGGCTTCAGAGGACCTAGTATCAGCATGCAATGATAGTGTTTCCTAGTCTCAGAGGGCACTCAGTGGTAAGTCATTGAGCGGGGTAGTAGAATGGGTTCTGCTACCACTTTTAATAATGCTTGTATAAATTCAGGAGCTTTACCTACAACTCATGGAGGCTATATTCTGTAGCTAATGTGGGTTGTAAATTTTATTTAATTTTAATGTTACCAGGGTTATTATATTGAACATTTCTAGTCTAGTTGCATATAAATAAGTATCAGCATGACTTAGATTTTGGCATCAGGTATTGAGTTACTATGCAAAATTTACCATTTTAAGCCTCAGCTTTATTCTCTATAATTGAATATAATAATGTCTGCATCATAGCTTTGATTAAAGAATAAATAGGATATTGCATGGTAAGACCGTAGAATAGTGTCACCTAGCTCACAGATATTCCTGTAGATATTTGTTATTATAAAAAATTTGTTAAGCATATCTAGTTCTTCTTTAGCTTGAAGAATTCTTACAATACTCTTACCCATGTCCAGAAATTCAAATCAAATTCTGCCATGAGACAGAAGTTCCCGAAAACTGAATTCTATATGTGTGCTCCTTGCCTGTGAAATCAATACCATTTTGTATTAACCAATCAATACCACACTACAGTAATCAGTGTAATGTGCCTGGAAAATTTGTCATTGTGTTCCATATATTTCATATATTGCTCTTTCTGAAACATTTTTTTTTGAGCTAGCAGGACATCAGTAATTTTAGTCAGATATACGTAGGAGGAGGACCCACTTGTTTGTCCTGGCTGCCCAGCTAGCTAAGCCCCAAAATAGCCACACAGAAACTGTATTAATTAAAATACTGCTTGGCCCATTAGCTCTATCTTTTTATTGGCTAACTCCTACATCTTTATTTAACCCATTTATATCAATCTGTATGTCACCACGAGGTCGTGGCCTACCAGAAAAGTTTCAGCACATCTACTTCCAGCCGCAGATTTATGGCATCTCTCTTGACTCTGCTTTATTTCTCCCAGCATTCAGTTCTGTTTTCCCCTGCCTAAGTTCTGCCCTATCAAAAAGCCAAGGCAGTTTCTTTCTTCATTAACCAATGAAAGCAACACATAAACAGAAGGACCTTCTACACTAGATATAGATTCTTTAACTCAGGGAAAACTGGGAAAGCAGGTATAGTTTTTACCTCCACTATGGATTTCAATATATTACAAACCAGGAGAAGTACATGAAAATTAACTTATCAAGAACTAAGAGAGCAATACACAGTGAAAAACCCTGGCAAGAACACATGGGAATGTGTTTACTTAGGACCTCTTCCTTCATCTACATCTAGAGCCTCACTCTCAGATATTCCTGTAAGAAGAGGATTTAATTAGCCAACCCTAAGCCTGCCCTTCCCCCATGGAAGATAAGGAGTATCATGGCTAGGATAGGGAAGAACATTGCTTTCTTCAGTCTTCCTTCAAGAGGATATCTAACAAAATTCCTGAGCAAAACAACTTGAGGGAGAGAAGATTTAGCTATTTCAGCATGGCAGAAAGATAATGGTAAAGCAGAATAGCTAACACCAAGGTGGCCAGGAAATACAGAAAAAAAAAATGACTGCTTTGATTGGTTTTCTTTTTTTCCCCTTTTATTTCCTCTTGGCTCCTGTTGTAGAATATTACTTTAACTATGTAAGGATGTGTTGCTTTGCCTATCTAACACAGCTGAATGGTCTAATTAAAAGCTGAATATCCAATAGATAGGCAGTAGAGGGATAGGTAGAGCTGGCAGGTAGACAGAATAAGTAGGAGGAGGAATCTAGGCTCAAAAGAAAAGAAAGGATGAGGGGGAAAAGGGGGAGATGCCCTGGGCCAGTCAACCAGGCAGCTGCCAGACAGACAGACATGGAAGAAGCAGGAAAATTAGGACATACCAATGAAAGAAAGGTTAAAAAAAAGTCCCAGGGCAAAATGTAAATGAAGAGAAACAGGTTGTGTAGTTGGAGGCTGTCCATTCATTCCCGGCTTCCCAGACTCAAAATAATCACACAGAAACTATATTATTTGCAATACTATTTGGTCAAGAGCTTAAGCGTATTGCTAGCTAGCTCTTATATCCTAAACTAACCCATTTCCATTAAGCTGTTCATCACCATGAGGTCGTGGTCTAACAGCAAAGTTTCATCAAGCTCTGGTGGAGGCATCTGTCTCTGGTGGCAGCCACATGGCTTCTCCAGACTCTGCCCTCTTTCTCCCAGCTTTCAGCTTAGTTTTCCTGCCTAGCTTTACTCTGTTAATCCATTGGCCAAAAGCAGCTTCTTTATTAACCAATGGCAATAAAACATTCACAGCATGCAGAGAGGAATCACAAAATAAGGTTAAAATAAGTTATAAGAGCTCGTGAGACAAGGCCGATCATTCATAACTAATAAGTCCCTATTTGGGAGCTGGTTGGTAGCCCAAAGATAGCCTACTATAGGCTATTATCCTGTAGGATGGTGCTAACCACTTTTAGGATAAATCTTCCCCCTTTGGATGACTCCTTCACAGACTTACCTAGAGGAGGGTTTTAGTATGTTCTTCTAGGCACTTCTCAAGCTAATCAAATTGACAGACAAGATTAGTCACAGTACACCACCATAAAAACTTATTAAACCAGAGAATTTATAGAAACATGGTTGAAAAACCTGTTAGTGTTTTCAGCAAACTGTAGCCTCATGAAAGAGGACTCTCCAACAAGAAGAGATTTGTATAGGCCTCTGGCTGATTTCTGCAGCTGACTCTTGGCTCATAGAATGTCCTGGATTCTTTACTTGACCATAGGAGACTCAGACTTTCTCCAGACATCCCTATTTTAATCTACACACGTATAACTCTGCCATATCCATTGCCTTTCTTTATGAATCCCACCAGGACCCAGAATTCCCCTCTTCTCAGCTTCCTCGGTGGCATCAGTGGATCAGATGTGCATATTAACTGGCAAGGTGTCCTTAATAAAAGTATATCTCTAGAAAAACAAATGGATTTCCCATGGGAATTGTGTATAAACATGGAATCAACCTCAGAATGCTAGGTGGACTCTTTAAGAATGAAAAGTATGGGGTGTTGGGAGCACAAAGTTCCTTGTGCCCTCAGATCACCAGGAAAACCAGGAATGTTAAGCACACAGCATTGTCCTCTCAGAAGTATATATAACTTGTTTTCCCATCCAGAAGATTGGGAATTGGAAGTGATTACTAGCCTGGTGATCTTTATCTGTAGGGTCAAGCCATATCAAGCTCCCACAACCAGGACCAGAAGTGTCTAATATACCAAATAACCTATACACACTAGCTGTATAGGTTCCTTCCTTAGGCTCTTAAGCTAGTACATGCATACTATCTCTAGAACCTATCTTCTTGGAAGAAATGGCATGTAATTTAAGTTTCTATGTAATTACATATTCTTGTGCACTGGTGATTTATCATACCAGGAAACTTTCCCCAAATTGTATTGTGTTTAAATCTACTGCCAACAAACCACCTGACATCAGACCCCTGAAGTTTGATCCAGCTGGACTAAGTCAAGTTGAACCCGGTTTTCATTCTCACCTCTTTGCAGATCATGTTTCTAACTTTTTTTTTTCTTTTTGGTTTTTCGAGACAGGGTTTCTCTGTGGTTTTGGAGCCTGTCCTGGAACTATCTCTTGTAGACCAGGTTGGTCTCGAACTCACAGAGATCTGCCTGACTCTGCCTCCCAAGTGCTGGGATTAAAGGCATGCGCCACCACCGCCCGGCTTGCAGATCATATTTCTGTTGACTGTGACAACTGCAGGGACCCCCCAACAAGGGGGAAGTGAAAAAATAGTGGAACTAGAATCCATTTCAGAGCTGTTCGTCCACAAGAGCAGAGTATCTCATGCAGGAAACATAGAAAGAACAGCTGCTTTGGTTGGTTTTCTTTTTCCTCATTTTTATCCCTTCTGGGATCCTAACTTGAAGAAAGGCATGCCACGCTTTCAGGACAAATCTTCCCCTCAATACTAAAGAGAGTAAGGAAGACTCTAAAGATTACAGGAATAACACTGCAGGTAACAGCCATTGCTGGTAGGTTGACCCCAAAGTAAGAATGAAGATAGAAGACAGAGAAGATGGATTATTCATAAAGCATATAAGGTGAAGAATACTAAGCCAGAATGAGTGCCAGTTTTGAACCTTTCATTGGTGATGGCTTGTGGAGACTGTGGTGAAGTCAAGCTGAAGACAGAGATGTGGCTACTGCCGTTTCAAGAATAGAACAGGCTCTGCAGTCTGCAGCAGATGACACTATGCATTCTTTTTCTTCTCCTCCTTCTCCTTCTCCTTCTGCTTCTCCTTCTCCTTGAGATAGGGTTTCTATGTGTTGCTTTGGGGACTGTCCTGGAACTAGCTCTTGTAGACCAGGCTAGCCTTGAACTAACAGAGATCCACCTGCCTCTTCCTCCCAAGTGCTGAGATTAAAGGTGTGTGTCACCACTGCCTGGCTGGCACTATGCATTCTTAACAAGTCAACAGGACCTTCAGATTTCTGCATCTGCACCCTGAACAAGTCCAATCCCCAGGCAAGACTAGTTTATCTCACTTATTAACACAGCTCTACAATTCAGCTCCTCTGCTGCATGTTATAGAACTAGTTAATATGAAATTGTCACATAATGATTAAACATTGCTCCTTCACAACAATGTCGTTAGGGAAAAGTAAGCTCCAGAGAAATTATTTTCTCAAACTTTTTACTCAGTTGTGTGACTTAAGCAAGCTGCATACTCTTGCACCAACCACTAATCTTTTCTTCCCTTCCACCCCCTATTTCTACATATGATGTGGGATTCCCCTCTGTATGCTGTGAATACCATTGGTTAATGAAGGAACTGTCTTAGGCCTGTTATGGGGTAGAGTAGAGCTAGGCTGGGAAAACTAAACTGAATGCTGGAAGAAAGGAGGTGGAGTCAGAGAGAAGCCATGTTGCCCTACCAGAGAAAGACACTGGTCAGAGTCTTGCCAGTAAGCCACAGCCACATAGTGATACACAGATTACTAGAAAAGGGTGAAATTAAGATGTAAGAGTTAGCCAATAAGAAGTTAGATCTAATGGGTCAAGCAGTGATTTAATTAATATAGTTTCTGTGTGGTTATTTAGGTTCTGGGTGGCCGGGATGAACAAGTGGCCTCCTTACAACACTCATAGTCAAGGGTGGCCTCACACTCCTGATTCTCCTGCCTCAGCTTTTCCAGTGCTGGAATTGGAAACATTCGTCACCATGCCTGGCTCAAATTCTCAATTCTGAAAATAATGAACTATTTAAGATATACTTAGAAATTACTTGTTTAGCTAGTTTATTGCTAGATCAGGATGGTAACTGAAAAAAAAAACATTTCAAACTGTTCACAGAGAAATCACAAGCTTTGTTTATAGTGTTACTTTGGGTTTTTTGTTTTTGTTTTTTTTTCTGGTCAACAAAGAAGTTTGTGATGGCTCAACGGGTAAAGGAATTTTCAGCTTATGCTGTCAGCCTAATGACTTGAGTCCCACCCCCAGGACCTACAGTGGAAGGAGAGCTCACTCCTGAGGGTTGATTCACCTACCTGCACATACATGCTGTGTCTACACCCATACACCAAACTTCTGCCACATACACACAATAACCACTCTAGAAGATCAGCTCAAGGCCACCCTCAGCTACAGGAAGAATTTTGAGAACAGTTTGGGTTATAAGGGATTGCATTGCAAAACCAAGAAGCACAACTAAACCAAACAAACATCCCCCCAAAACCATTAAGTACATCTATTATGACCTTGTGTATCTCATCTTTCTTTTTAAAAAATGAATAAAAATGTTTATTACATTCTTTATAGTACTACAAAATTGTACTATACTAGTTGTTGGAGACAAGGTTTAAAAAAAGGACTAACATATCCTCATTACCCAAATACAGCAACTGTGAAGCATGAAAAACAAAGAATATAACAGGCATTGTCTCAGATTGGCTCTGAATGGAGACATTAATGGCTCTAAACATGATGAGGGAAGATGGATGAACTTGGACTTAGGGAGAGGTTTGCGTTGGGATTTTCAGTGTAGCGTGGGTACTTCTGGAAAACAGCTGTTCATTCTAATGTCTACCCCAGGTACAGTGACTGCTAAATTCTCACCACAGGTTTAGGAGTCAAGCTTGACCCTAACCCAGTGAAACAAAAAACACTGGCTTCAGAATGTGAAAGGACAGCTTCAGTTTTTAAGTTAGAAACCACGGGGAAAATCTAGGCAGTAGAAGAAGCTGGGTATGGGATATTGGCAGGGTACTAAAAGTAACTGAATAGAGAGGTCCACCCGGGGTCATGAACAACGGATGCCCCAAGGTTGAACAAAATGCCTCAGACAGAACTTGGAGTAATGGAAGCAGCTAAAGAGCAAGAAAATTTGCTAGGAAAGGCAAAAGTACTTCTGTGCTAGAAATACAAAGTAGCGCAGGGAAGAGGACCCTGAAAGGAAGAGAAAGTGAAGAGTCAGCAGTGACAAATGCTGCAAAGACTGTCTGTCACAAGACGTGGGTAGAAAACAGAACATCTACAGCCTTGTGATTGTGTCAGCATGGCAGAGCACTCAACTCCTGTCTGCTTCTTCCTCGGTGATCTGTTGAAAAGAGATGCAAAGGAACTTTGCATCTTTGCCTCAGAAAAGCACTACCCTCCCCGCCCCTCCCCCCACTTAGTCTCTTTAGAAAGTATGAGACTAATCTACATAACAGTCACATATATGTAGAGGGCCTAGGTTGGTCCCATACAGGCTCCCTTGTTGTTTGTTCAGACTCTGTGAGTTCCTTTAAGGCAGGTTAGTTGTTTCTGTGAGGTTTTTTTGTGATGTTCTTGATGCCTCTGGCTCCTGCAATACTTTCTGCTTCTCTTGTCAGGTTTCCCCTGACAAACTTGGCATAGTACTTGACTGTGGGTCTGCAGGTGTTTCCATCAGTTACTGGATGAAGGCATTCTGATGACAGAGAGGTTGTCTGGGGTAGTCATCAATCTGGTCACAGGAGATGGCCAGTTCATGCTAGGTATTCACTATTGTTAGGAGTCTTAACTGGGGTTATCCTTGTAGATTCTTGGGAGTTTCCCTTGCAGCAGGTTTTTATCTGACCCAGAAATGCTCCCCCTTCCAATCATCTCTTTCAGTACTCTCCCCCTCTATCCAGTCTCCAACCCAGTCCCTCACGTTTCCATCCCCACTTGGTCTTCTTGTGTGACTCCTAACAATGGGAGCAGGGGCTGTCCCTTGTTATACCCAGATCATGGAGTCCCCCAAAAGTCAACTAGGAGATGGAGTCCTGTAAGTAAAAGCAAAGAGTCTTTATTCTTATACAAGTTTGCAAACTCGGACTCTGTGTGTCCAACGTATTGGAGTGATCAGAGCTCAGTAAGGGTTGGGTATTTATAGTAGTAAAGTTAGGGATGAGAGATTTCTAAGTCTATTAAACCAGAAGCAAACTCTATTCCAGGAAAAAAATTTAAAAAATCAATCTCCATGGAGCATGAAAAGCTTATCAGCTAGCTGAGACCACAGCCATAGATGAACTTATAAGGCTGTGACAATGGGGGCTATTTCTGAACTTCCCTTTTTATAGCAAGAAGCAACAAGCATTAGACATTGTTATTCTTAAAAAACGATGGGAGAGCAGCTACAAACGGTCCCCGGGCGGGCTGGCGGAGCCCGCCATGGGAAAGCGGCTACAGGAGGGCACGCTTCCTTGGCCCACGGTGGCAGCAGGTAACAGACACGTAAACACAGGAAATAGCCATAAGTATTTATTAAGGAAGGGGGAGAAAGAAAGACAGAGAAAAGAGATAAAAGGAGAGAGGAGAGATAAAAGAAGAGAGAGACAGAGAAAACGCGTGCGCACGCCAAGGAAGCAGAAAGAGAGAGAGAGGTTCCAAGATGGTGATGGGCGGGTCAGAGGTTATGGGAGTGGGCGTGGCTAGGGCAGGGACCCAAGAATATCATTCCCACATCTTGCTTTTGATAAAAAGCAAATTAGACACTTCAGTTTGAAGGAATTGGGGCGGCGAATTCTCAAGACTGCTTCCGGCTGATTGTGGGCGTCGTCTTGGGGGGGGGTGCGAGAGAAGGCTGGGGTGCTGGGAACATCCTGGCATAGCTGGTCTCTTTGCTTCTGACCGATGTCTGTGGCATGGGAATGTCTGGAGTCCCTAAGTTATTGGCAGAACAAAGAACAAAGTCAAATTAAGGTTAAAAGAAAAAATTTTAGGACCAGGGAATCGAGGGGGTATCTGACCTGTTTAAGATGGATTTCTTGATTTGGCTCCCTGGAACTCATGAGAACTCCTTGGGTTTGTGAAAACAGAAGTTTTAGACATATAATGACTGTAGCATAAGAGATAAATTTGGTTTGAAATTTGGTGAGGTCACCTTGTAAAACCTCAACCTGGCGAAACCTCTCAGCTGTCAGACTGTCAGAGATCTTTGAGAAGGATAAGATTTTACTTGAGTAACTGATTAAAAAATGACAGAGAACTTACTTGGTTGGCACCCAGAGCTACTCTTTTTTGGGTCCTCCATGGTCGCTGAAGGTTGCACTTGAGCTTTGCTGTTTAGCGCAGGGCCTGCCAGGCTCCAGAAGATCCTGTGGGCTAAGAAATCTGTAGGAAGACAGGTCTACCTTGACCTGAGCAGCTAGGCTGTCGATTCCGGTGATTCCGTCCATGTCTAGAGATCTTTAGTTTAGATGAAAGGCAGGCTTTCCCAATGGTCAGCGCTCTGCAGTTGAAGCGAGATGCAGAAGGACGTTGTTCTGCGCGTGACTGTCTTTTTTGGAGGGAGCAGAAAGCTGCTGCTAGGAGCCAACCTGTCTCTTTTGTCGTTGTTAAAAGTTATTTTAATAATTAAATACTTAAATATCACATTCCCCATATCTCTGAGCAGTTGAGGGCTGTTTATCAGGTATAACTATAGTATAGAATTTGTTTGGAAAGTTGGGTCTGAGCTTGACCAAATTGGAAAAAGATAGAGGGAAAAGCTGCTTGAAATATAAGGTTAGCGGCAAAACTGACAATGGTAGAGAACAGCTTAAGAGACTTAAAGGTACATACTAGTTTAAAATACAAGACTCATGTTTTGTAGTCTGAAATGAGATGTAGTAAACAATTATTGTACATAGAGAGTGAACAAGAATTGGGCAACGTGGATGCCTCTGATGGGCCCTATCAAAGGCATTTGACCATTGCTCAAAACACATTTAACAGAGTTAGCATAAGGAGTTTGGTGAAAACTGAGTGAAGAAGCAGGTTAAAACCAGGAGAGTGAGGTCATGTGATCTGGCCCTCAGCCAAGATGGCGACCGCCACGTGTAGTCTGCTCAGTTGTAAAGCCCGCCAAGCCACAACAAAAGCCGAGAGTGGAGGGGCAAAAGGCTGGAACCGAAAAACGGCCGTGTATAGTTTAATGGGGCCATTTTGGACAAAAACTGATAAGTGTGAGGCATTAAAAGATGAGGCCAGAGTGATAGGTCTGGATGGATTGGCTCCCGTGGTCAAGGCCGTGCAAACACCCGCAAAAACCGTGGCACCTCAAGCTTACAACGAGAACGGCTCCCCTTTAAGGCGAGATGCAGGGCACGAACATCCGCTGGCCCTATGGAAAGGCGTCCGATTCCATGGGGGGGGTGTTATAACCTGGCTGAATCGACTGGAGCCTCCGACGGGAGAGTGATTCCCGGGCAGGAGGGATTCAGCCAAGGTCAGGCCGCACCGTAGCGGCGTGCTGCACCAAGCAGCGTGCTGCACCGTAGCAGCAGTTACGACGAAAGAAGGAAGGAAGAAAAGTAAGGAAAAAAAGAAAGAGAGAGAACTGGAGACCCTGGGCCTCCAGGCGCGGGTGAGCTGAGGCTTAACACAGGAGACAAGCCGAATTGAATGCCAGCGAAGGGAACCGAGGCCCTGAAGGCCCGCGGTTGGAGGTTCCCCCATCCCTAAAAACCGTGAAGGGTTGCCGGGAGCTCAACGATCAAACCCTTGAGTTAGAAGAGATGGTTAAGAGATACACCCCCCTCGATTCCCTGGTCCTAAAATTTTTTTCTTTTAACCTTAATTTGACTTTGTTCTTTGTTCTGCCAATAACTTAGGGACTCCAGACATTCCCATGCCACAGACATCGGTCAGAAGCAAAGAGACCAGCTATGCCAGGATGTTCCCAGCACCCCAGCCTTCTCTCGCACCCCTCCCCAAGACGACGCCCACAATCAGGCGGAAGCAGTCTTGAGAATTCGCCGCCCCAATTCCTTCAAACTGAAGTGTCTAATTTGCTTTTTATCAAAAGCAAGATGTGGGAATGTTATTCTTGGGTCCCTGCCCTAGCCACGCCCACTTCCATAACCTCTGACCCGCCCATCGCCATCTTGGGACCCTCTCTCTCTTTCTGCTTTCTTGGCGTGTGCACGCGTTTTCTCTGTCTCTCTCTTCTTTTATCTCTCCTCTCTCCTTTTATCTCTTTTCTCTCTCTTTCTTTCTCTCTCTTCCTTAATAAATACTTATGGCTATTTCCTGTGTTTACGTGTCTGTTACCTGCCGCCACCGTGGGCCAAGGAAGCGTGCCCTCCTGTAGCCGCTTTCCCATGGCGGGCTCCGCCAGCCCGCCAGGGGACTGCCTGTAGCTGCTTTCCCATGGCGGGCTCCGCCAGCCCGCCCGGGGACCATTTGTAGCCGCTCTCTCATCGTTTTTTAAGACCAGACGGGACCCTGTTCCCTTAAGTTCCAAAAGACACCAGGCTTAGCCCCTCCTACCCCATCTGCCACCTAATTCTCCTGCGTTAATACATCTTTCCTTCTCCAAAATTCTAAATAACCATTCAGCTGCCATTACAGATCATCAAATACGAAGCCAAGGGCTCCAGCGATAAGCAGATTTTTAACAAAGTCACTTAACAGGTCAGTTCACCTAAGCAGATTCACAAGCGGTTCAGTAACGGAATAAGTATCATTTAATTTTTTCTTTTCTCTTCTTCTTTCTTTCATTCCTAGGACTCCTCCCCC